GCAAGGGGAGGGGGGCGCCTAGGACCCGACATGTATATCCGGACTTTTGGACCCCAAAACAGTACAATGGTGCGGTTTTTTCGCAGAATCTGACAGCTTCGGCTGGAAACATTAAAATCAATCGAAATTAAGTCATCGATGACGTCATTTTCTGCGCATGCGCCGTCTTCTTAAGGTCTCGGACCGGAGTTTCCCTCCGTATTTCGAGCAATTTGACACCCTCAGCCCGACGGGCTGTCATTTCTGTACTAAACGCGGGTCGGAATTTTTCACTCTTTTGGTGGAAAGGGGTGCCGTGCCGCTTATCAATACACTTAATTTTACACGTCATTTTTAACCATGGCTGCATGGAAAAAACGAATTTTCCCAGGGTAACGGCTTAGTACTCGAAGAAGCTCAGAACCTAATGTTTCCAAAATTTGAATTTAATTAAAATCGATGCGATAAGTTTATCGCTATCTTCGATGGCCCGAACACACCCAGAACGCATATAGAACGTACCATCCCGGCGGTCAGGCGAAAAGGCCACATAACCATCCGCGCGGACGAATACCAGGAAGTCTTAGCTGGACCACCAACATTACGCCACCTATAAAGGCTACAACTAACAGGCTTTTCAGAAAATACAAAGATATGTACACAGATATTACGATTTCAGGGATATCGCGGCCAAAACATACCATACAAAGTCACGTTTCCGGCGATTTACTGCGCACTTACTTAGACTCTGGTCAGAATTAAACTCCGACCCGGAACCTTAAAGGTTAACATCACTATGCGTATATTATGTTTATGTAGAAGTCATTTGCATAATTTAATAATAAATTTACATGTCAAGCCCATATTTCATGGAGGTATGAGATCTTGGAACTCTTGTTTTAGTAGGTTTGTCACACATTTTTTGCAATGTTTTCTTAAATCTCGAAAATCAACAGTTTGCATTAGGCAACTAGAATTCCGAGATCTCATACCTCCATGAAATATGATCTTGATATGTAAATGTAAATTTCTTCTTTAATTGTTCAAATGACCTCTGCATTAACATGATATATGCATCGTGATGTATGTTAACTTTTGATTGTATGACATTCTCATCATTCACCATTACGAAATCATAGAATTTTCACATTAATTATGCAAATTAGGTCATCATTTGCATAATTAATTTCATGACCCTAGCATGTCCAGATTGCGAGATAATGTAAAACACTGTAATTATATAATTTCCTCATTAATTATGCAAATACAGTCCTCATTTGCATAATTTGCATTTAATTATGTACATCTCTCTCTCAGCTACCTACACACCAAAAATAATGAAAATATGTTGTTCCTGTCTGGACTTATTGGCTTTTAAACATTTCACCAGAAAGTGCCCTGCAGTTCCACAACAAGCCGCTAGGGGGCCCAAACTCATGTGACTTCTTCCCAAGCACGAGAGCTACCTATCATCCAAATTTCATGACCCTAGCATGTCCAGATCGCGAGATATCAAAACCGGAAGTTGCGCTGCAGTACCAAGGGAAGCCACTAGGGGGACCAAAATCTCATCATTTCCAGTTTTTGTCACACCCTACCAACACACCAAGTATGAAACCAATCCATCCAGGCGTTCTTGAGTTATCTTGTTGACCAACAGACAGACGGACGGACGGACGGACGGACAGATAAACGCAACTGAAAATATAACCTCCATGACACATTTCATGGAGGTAAATATACATGTATAGGATCTTAGCTATTATCATCCAACAGTATCCAACTGTTATTTTTATTACCTTCGCCAAGAAGGTTATGTTTTCAGGGGCGTTCGTGTATGTGTGTGTGTGTGTGTGTGTGTGTGTGTGTGTCTGTCTGTAAACACGATAACTTGAGAAGGCCTTGATGGATTATGTTGATACTTGGTAGGTGGGTAGGTCTTGATGAGACCTCAAAATGATTAGATTTTGGGGCCCCTAGCGGCTTGTTATGGTACTGCAGCTGAACTTCCGGTTTTGATATCTCATGATCTAGACATGCTATGGTGATGAAATTTGGATGGTAGGTAGCTCTCGTGCTGGGGAAGAAGTGACGTGAGTTTGGGCCCCCTAGTGGCTTGCTCTGGAACTGCAGGGATATATTCTTGAAATTATTCAAAAGAGGATAACTCAAGAACCGTTTGACGGATCGTCGTGATTTTTGGTATGTAGGTAGCTTACGTGATGTTTAATATAATTATGTGACAATTATGCAAATATGGATGTAATTTACATAATTTATGGGTAAATTCTATAAATCAGCTGCATTCCATGATAGGACAATTGAAGCTTGTGACAATGGTAATTGACAACGAGAGAAACACAGGAAGATATTGATTATGTTAATAATGACTTAATTTGCATAATTAATGAGAAAGTTTTATAATTATGTAATGATAACTGCCTGGAATTTCATACTTGTGGTATTTGAAAGTTTAGTTGAGGTGAACATCATTAAACATAATTTATTCAAATCAGGACCTCATTTGCATAATTTATTAGGAAATGCTAGAATGCATTGTTTGTTAATATAAGACTGTCTTATGGTTGAGATTATGATAAAATTATATAATTCATGAAAATTAGGTTCCTATTTCTTAAGTCGGGGGAATAATCTAATCTATAATTTGTCAGTCATAAAGATTAACATCATTTGGCGAAGGTATGAGATCGGGGAACTCTAGGTTATATATCACTTCATACCCTATTTTTATATTGATTAAAAAACATTCGTGGCAAAACGCATTGATTATGAAGCAAAAATGTTTGGAAGGATAATAGTTGGTTGCTTAGAAGATATTTACCAAGTTTACGGAGAGCTGCATAGAACTCCACTATGGAACGGCCTCCATATGTACCTCAACATGGCGGCAGCCTGCTCGTTGCATGTGGATGGTCACCTGACTGAATACGCCGTATAGATTTTAATCGCTGTTTGAAATGTAACTCTACCTTTTAGAATTGATAAATGTATATATTTTGGCGAAATGTTTTGGCAAAACAAGCCTCGCGATTCAGCCATCGCGGCTGCCAGGAAGCTTGTTACTGTTCCTATGTTCTTCTTTGCTGAATAAACCAGTCTAAAATATGTGCGTAAACTATAAAGCTGATAGTCACATTAACTATAGCTCTGGCCTTATATTTCTTTAACAAACGTCACGATTTTCTTTGCTTTAGAACCTCCATCCTGGTCAGCATCCTCGGAGTTTGATTCACTTCACTCAGCTGCCCGCGCAGATATCAACTCTCGCGAGACTGCAGATGCAGCAGGCGCATGGGCAGCAGCAACCAATGACCAGGACCAATGGCTGATGAGGGATCTTGGTGACGTAAGCGTCATCACCGGCATCATCATCAAAGGCAGGAACTACAGCCCTGATTGGCCATGGGACAAACATGACCAATACGTCACATCCTACACCATTTCATACGGCAATGAAAACGGTGATGAGACTTTCTACACCGATGCTGATGGGCAAGTTACAGTAAGAATCATTCCTCCTTTTATTAAATAGCTATCTACTAAGATATTTGCATGTTAAAATCGTATTCCTAAAGTGAATATGGAAACAGGCAGATACTATAATGTAGCCCATGACTTTGCCCATTTTGTCGAAAGCAAATTGAATATTAATTTCACTTTGTCGTGGGATGCTCTAGATGTGATGTTTTGCGTCAGCTATTCACATTTCTTTAGTCTATGACAACAGATTTGAAGAGAATCGATGCTACAGATAGATTTCAATACATCTTTATATCATGATTAGCCTCAATTATATTGATTGTAACATTATATCACAGACTTATGCTAGCCCTTGTTGTTTTAGTAAGAAGAAAGATACTAGTAAGTTATAGCATGTAACTTTTTCCACGTTCATTGGTCTGTTTCCTTTGCCAGGATACTTTGTCTTGCGATAAAGTTGAACTTCTCAAAGTGTGGATGTGGCTGTTTCCAAATAGGGCTTGATATTCTTGGCATATAGGCAATGTCTTTATATGCTGCAGGTTTTTCCGGCGAATGACGACAGAGACACGGAGGTCTACAACGACTTCAGAGATTTCAGTGGTCGCATAACTGCGCGCTTCGTCAAAATCCATCCGCAAACATGGCATGAGCACATCTCCATGCGGGCGAAGATTGTGACAGGTTGGAAACGTAATACTGTCATAGGGGAGGTAACATTCTGGGGAAAATGCAGTTTTTGGTGAAATACGCCCCTATGAATATGGAGACCTGGATGTCAATATTTGGTCAAATGTGAAACTGTCCCCCCCCCCCTGTTCAGACTGGGTCTGAAGAAGTGCTAGAATAGCCTTTTTGTTACGATAAGGTTGTCATTGGGTGGAGAACATGATCAACTGGTATAATCCATGCAAATGAGGCTCTTATTTACAAAATCGATGATTACATTGTATAATTCGTCAACCGCAAGGGTTAACATCACTTTGCAAAGGTATGAGGTCGTGGAACTCTTGTTAACTTTTGTACTTCCACGAAGTTTCGGAAATATATTATTATTAGATACCTGTTGAACGTCCTTTTAGATACTTAGTAGTCGGTTTGGGGGTTTTCCCATAGATTTCCCAAGTGATTAAAGTACACCATCTTCCCACAAATGACAGATTAGGACATTTCCAGTTTATCTACTTTTAGCAAGGCAGATGTTCATTCATGGTGAACAGCGCCACCAGGTACCTCAGCTGAAAAGTGCAGTGACTACAGCACATAGCAGAGAGTCTAGTGACACAGCCCTTCTTCTCATGGGGACAATTGACACATTTTGGACAATAAACTCAGTAACATGTCATGTTTTCAGAGATTAAGACAAGCAACAGATTTATACCGGTTGATGAAAGTGCGCAACATGCCAAACACGCGAGGTCACACGCAGTGGAGAACCAGGGTAGAGTCGGCACGTTTGACGATCTGGTGGCTGAAATGAAACAAAACAAAAAGGTACTAGTAACATATTATTTGGATGTTGGATGTCAAAAATTCCAAGATATCATACAGCTACATTTGTCTCGCTAGTGTTATATCAAACATTTGTTATTCTTTTCTTTATTATTTTTACGTTTGCCGCCACTTACGGCTGTATGGGCAATATGTTACATGTAGCATGACCATTGACATGCACAATTTTAATCAATTGGTCCTTACATCAGATAAAAAAGTCTTTGTATTTCAGATTTGATAGTTAAGAATCTAATTTGCTCACTTGAAAATGATGTGAATTAGCTGCTAATGAGCATCAATTCTGGTTATCTTTTCCTAAACTATTTACATGCCAATAGTGATGTTTATGTGTATATAGTATAGCATAGGTAGATTTCAATAGGCAGAATACAGTGAACTACTACTAGGTAGATTTCAAAGGTCTTATCATCACTTTATTTAAAAAAAAAGAAACATTTTTTTGCATACGATTTTGTTGTGCAAAAACACAACGGCGGCAAACGACAGCTTTTTATAGAAGCACTTTTTTCATCGTTACGATGTTTTTGCAATTTCCCTCAGGTGTCCGAATACGTCTCGTCCCTCCGTCTTGTCGGAGAACACGTGAGTGGTGTTTCTATCTGCTACATTCATTCATCATCATCAGTGAAATCCCTTTAATGTACATATTTGAAAGTACATGAGGAATTCCACCAAAGGCTACAGTAAGTAGGTTATTACATAGATCTTTGTCTACAAGATAATATTGGTTTCCTTATATTATATTATAGTATCAAAATCAGTAGAAATTGACATTAATATTGTATTATATCATATTGTAGTTTTTTAGTCGTGCAATTCTACCACATTAAACATGGTAATGGTAAGTTGTTTTTTTACTAACTGAATAACTCATAACTCTTATTTTTCCAGCTGAAGCGCCTAACAGAAAAGGTGAGTTTACTCCTTTTTTATTAAAAACATTATTAATTAAAACAACTGAATGAAAGTGCATGGAAAATTGACGATCAACCACGCAACAGCGCTACATACTACATACAACAGACTTACATACTATCTCTAGCCCTCTAGGCTGGTTCTTGAACCATGAATTAGTGCGAGTAGGAGATACAAGTGAGATATATTTAGTCCAAATCAAGGTTCCAATCATTTTATACACCCGTTACAGTCCAGTAGCATCGCCAAGTGATTCTCTGTACTACGTAGCTATCGCCTACAGTATAAAATCCGCTACAGTTAACTTAAAATCTCACAGTTTTTGGTGTGTTTCCAAATAACAAGAACGCTTTAAACCACAGTTGTTAAGTTGTTACTTGTAATGCATTTCTGAACTAAATATTTCGTTATTTACAGGTTACTAGTAGTGAAAATGCATGTTTTCCATACATTTACATTAAACGTCAATAGTAACTTCTTCCATTCTGATGTTCTTCCTTGCAAAATGCAGTCTCCTGTATTCGCGTTGACACTGTTCAAATCCCTATTTCCAGATCGTCGCTTTAGATGCTCATCTCCTCTATTATAACAGAGATTCAAGGAATCCGGAGACTTCCGACGCCCTAAAAAGAGTACTAGGTGCGTAGCGTTGTATTTTTTCGTAAACGGTTCACAGATTACGATGTATCATCTGCATTTAGATTGAATGTATCTGCGAGCGTCACCGAATGATTAGTACAATGGCATTTACGGGCGTGTTTATCCTTTTTTTATTGCGAAAAAAACGAAAAGATATATACACAGTGGTGCCGTGGCATAAATTCGGGAGCACGATCATTATTAGCTTCATGAAAATGGGGGTAGTTGTTTTTGGCGTGTCTGCCTGTGTGTGTGTGTGTGTGTGTGTGTGTGTGTGTGTGTGTGTGTGTGTGTGTGTGTGTGTGTGTGTGTGTGTGTGTGTGTGTGTGTGTGTGTGTGTGTGTGTGT